TCCTCTTCAAAGGATGACTCTTCACAGCAGCCGAGCTAGAACTCAGCATTGCAGTACCAGCATAAGTCTCCTTCCCAGTGGCTCAGTCCTTCTGTCCCAGGTCAAAGTGGTAGGGACTAGTCAAAGGATCATGTTGGGCTTCGTATCAGTACAAAATCCCTGCGGAGAAAATACAAAATAAAATATTCATTAAGCTAGCATTCCCAATGAAAAGCTACCACATAAGACCTACAGTGTTCATTTCTTGTAACCTGAGAGATTTAGAAATGTGCAATTGACCTGAAAAGCCAAGTTGGTGTTTTCCTTCAGACACACTTGTGTAACTCACAGAGAGGATGGCCACACTGCTGAGTCTAGAGGGGTACTCTCTGCCCTACCAGGACCAACTAGTTTAAAGCCACATGAGATCTTGCTGCATGATGTTGTTGGGGTTTTTTTAACAATACAGTGAAAACACTGTGAGTAGGGGTCAAAGATACATAAAGACAGAGCTCAGCTTGAACAGCAGCAGAAAAAATAAGAGAAAGAGAAGGGAATCCCATGAGGATCTATATCATCCCAGGCACTGCAGTGCCATATGCAACCACTTTCTGGCAGAAGTCACATAACATGACTACGCCAAATCAGTGCAATTACCACCTTTAATATGGCTCGTCGTAACAATCTCCATGAATCGAAAACAATTTACTAACCCGACACAAGTTTACCAGAGCTCTCTAGGACCACAAGCACAGATACACAACTCGTTAACCAATATTGCTTCATTTCTAACAAGGAGAAACCACGAAACATCTACACCTCAGAAACAGAACTGTGCTACAGCAGAAGAGAAAGGTGGAGAAATGAGCTTAAGTTGGTAAACTTACTGTACTGACTGATTTCTTCCACCTTGGATAGTTTGTAACCCAAACAGAGAACTTATCCCTTTTGAAACTACAATTTTATTTTATGCCATTTTAAAGGCTAATCTAAAGCAAATGTCTTCACTCTGATAAGTCACCAAAAAAAAAATCACTCAGTTTCCACGTGTAGCCTCTCAGGGTTTCAGGCCGAAGGTACTGCAAGTCTGAAAGACCCACTTTTTAAAGGTAAACAGTGTAGTGTGGTCACAGGAGAAGGGAGGCCAAGAGAGCTACAAAGACGTTACCTGTTTTACAAACAGAAAAATTCTATCACAGGACTAAGATCCAGGATGTCAGCAATTACAGAACTCAGAACTCAGTGATTAGCAGCCAATGTTCATTTGAATTCACTACATCTGATTCGAACTGTGAATACAGTTCATATATATATATATATATATAAAATATATAA